GCGTATTATGCTATAAAAACTAATTTTCCAGCTAATATAAATTTTTCTGTTGAGACAATATTAAAACTTTATAGATCTATGATTACTCCAATCTTAACTTATGGTTCTGAAATTTGGATTGCTGACTACAAATGTGATTTATTATCCTCAGATCATTTCCCATTTGAAAAAATACAACTTCAGATATTTAAAGACATTCTGGGTATTCATAGAAAATCATCAGTGAATGAGCATCATGACCAATTAGTGGTGTCTGCATTTAAGGAAGATAAAACATTGGGGTCTAGAATATCTTGGCAAAGAAAACTTTTTACTCTACAGCAGAATTGTCTTTATCCTCATTGGACATATCACATAAAACTTTAAGACATAAATTAGAGCACTATAGGAACAAAATCTGTGAACAGTTAAAGAACATTTCTATATCAGATTCTGGAAAATTAACTTTTTATAGTAATATAATAAATTTAAATGAATATAAATTACAGAACTAACTACAGTTACCATTGAAGAAATGTGAAAGAACAATCCCAACAAAACTAAGAATTAGTGCTCATATACTGCATATTGAAATGGGGAGGTACTCAAGGCCACCTATTCTTAGAGAAAAATGTGTATGTCATGCTTGCAAACTTTTTATTGAAAATGAAAAACGTTTTTGTACTTTATTGTCCTAGTTATGATCAGTATAGATTACAATATTGTTATATATACTGAAAGGAAAAAGAAACGCATATTGACATTGACTTTAGAAATTTTAATCATAATTCGAATAATGATCAACAATATAAATATAATGTAAAATTTAGACAAACAAACAATGTAAATCAACAAAGAAATGTTGGACACTTTGGTATTTTACACAAAAAAAGACATTCTTTGGGGGGGGGGGGGGGGGTCTTTCCTCAGAATTCAGTGATTAATACCGACTGTGTCCACCACGTGCTCCAATTGTTGCAGGGATTCTTCTGTGCATGGAGTTTACGAGTCTGTTAACTGTTCTTATTGGGATGTTATTCCACTCTTCTGTCACTGCTTGTGCAAGTTCCTCAGTGTTGTTCAGAAGGTTTTGACGCTGTCGAACTTGTCTATCAACCTCATCCCATATGTGTTCAATGGGGGAGAGGTCTGGACTGTATGGAGGCCATTCATGTGGTACAATGTTGTTTGTTGCCAGAAAATTGTGACATATCCGTGCAACATGTGGGCGAGCATTGTCCTGCTGTAGAACAAGATTGTGCCGACTCACAAAAGGAATAGCGTATGGTTGCAGGATAACGTCTCAATAACGTATAGCCGTTAGAGAGACGTCAACAACTACTAAAGGCGTCTTAAGTCCATGAGATATTCCACCCCACACCATTATGGACCCTCCCCCAAATCGATCACGCTCCATGACGCGTGCGTCGGAAAAACGTTCACCTTTGCGCCTATACACCCACCTCCTTCCGTCTGCTCAGAAAAGGGTGAATCTAGACTCATCAGAGAATAGCACATTTCTCCAGCGTTGCAAGGGAAATCTGTTGGGAAAATGTCTATGTAACCAGACCATTCGAACATCCCTACTGTTGCAAGACAATGGCAAACCTTTGTACGGCCTGCGCACTCTAAGACCTGCCTCCCTCAGCCTATTTCGAACCGTTTTTGCACTTATTCGTGCACTGTTACGTCCTCGGAAATGAGCAGCAGTTTCTACAGCCATTTGGAAACAATTCCTTAGATGGAGTAGACAAATTTCTCTGTCTTGGCGCTGAGTCATTACCATCAGACGTCCACTTCTAGGGTGATCGTTTAGACTTCCTGGTGTCAGCATCCGACATCTAAGACAAGATATGGTTGAATGTGCAACGTTAAATCGTTCAGCGACAGAAATTTGACCTCCCCCTCATAAGAGTAACCCTATTGCTTCACCCCTCTGACGTTGGCTCAAGCGAGGCATTGTAGCAAGTTGATGTCAACAGAAATAAAGTGTGGAACTTTTGCACATAAACGTTGAATATTCAAAAATGATCAAGAATGATTACAAATTGTAACGTGTACCCAGAGCCCAAAATTGTTGCCAAAATTTCATGCTTTATTCGAACAGGCTCTTTTCGTGGTTGAATGATTTTCCATTCATGAACCTCTAGCCGACACTCAATAGAACAGCTAAAATCAATATTTAGCTTGCGTCTTCTTTTCATGTAAATAGAGTATCAAAAAGTAAAATATTCATTTCTTTTTCCTTTCAGTATATTTAATGCTCAATGCTACATGAAGGAAAACCCTATTATTGACATTATCAACCCTCCAAGTATTAAAATTGCTAGAAGAGTATGTAACCTTCTGAAAAAGTGCTTTGATATTAGAAAAGAACAACTTCAACATAAATGATATGCTTACTGGAATAATTTTTTATTGATTTTATGTATGTTATTGTTTGTTGTATTCATGACTATATGCCAATGTATGGTGGTGTTGTCAATAAATGAAATGAATTGAATTGAAAATTACCTATGTTTTTGTGTATAAGTGGTCAGTTTGGTTGTCTTACTCCTCTGTTAAGGTTCAACATTCAAAGTAGCTGAAATTCTCAAAATTTTACTGTTTCCATGGCAACCAAGACACATAGCAACCAAATTTTTTTTTCAGTTTATTTAGCTGTTTAATTTCTTATTTCTCTTGAATTGATGTAGAAGTTTTTACTTTTACATTTAATTGTGTTTACATCATATCATCAAAGTGAATAAAATATTTTACAATAATGACCTCAATTTTCAACTTTCCCTTGTATGAATTTTTCTTAACTTTTTATTGTTTCTTTAGATCATTTTATAGATAGATAAAAACTAAATTTCGAAACTGTTGCAATTAGTTCCCATTTTGACAGCAAATTTTATATTATGATAGACAATCGGGATCTGTATTGCACAATGGATCATGTAGACTGAAATCACAGACTGAAATTGCAGACTGAAATCTCCTTTGGAGGATTGTTTAAGATACACATATTAATAAAATGTTAAATGATAATTACTAATGATTTCAATTTCATAATTCATGAGGATTGGGGAACCATATTTTTCTTTGATTGTCAGAATCTATTGCAGTCTTTTTTCTTGGCAAACAAATGCATGAACTATTATAAATAGCCGACCACTGTTAGATTTATTAAATCTTTAATGAAGCTACAAAGCAGGCAACACATGCATTCCTTGGAACACTAGTTATAACTTTGGTGCCATTTTCTTAAACTTGAGCTTTAACAAGTTGATTCATTAAATTGGGTGAAGCCAGCGGTTCTAAGAAAAAGTATCAACCTTTAGTCCATAAATTACAGTACAATGTATTTAATGTGGGAAATGTTTAACACCTTCCATCATGATGTTTGAATTTGTTTACATTAAGGAAGCACAATAAATCACATGTCAAATGAGATTTCCCATGTTGTGAGAGCAAGAATTAAAGAAAAGTAGAAGTTTCTGGAAAACAATTCAAAATTCAGGATAAAATTTTCATTTCCTGTGAATTTTGGTGACCCCACAAATGGGGTAAAAAAAATATGTGACATTTCATATACAGCAGGTACATATCATATGTATGGAAATCAAAATTTTACAAAGGAATATATTAGGAAAAAATTTCTTTTCAAGGACAGCAAAGTCATGATTAGTCATAATAACATGAAAGCATCCAGATCAAGGTCCTCAGGAATAGGTTGAGGCTGCAATAGGGATCAGAGTTTTACAAGACATGGCATATTAGGAAGAATTTTTTTCCAGAGTGGCAAGACCATACTATAAATCATATTTAAAAGCAAAACATACCTAAGTTATGTGGAAATCATTTTTTTTTAAATTATGAGCCTTGGGGTAAGAGCTGGGCCAAAATCACAGATTCAGATTTTACATAATGCATGTTAATTATTACACCCCCGCTCCAAAGGAAAGGTATACTGTTTTACCTTTGTGTGTCTCTGTGTGTGTGTGTGTGTCTGTCTGTCTGTCTGTCCGTAACAAATTTTTTTTGTCACAGTTTTCTCAGCAACTACTCATCGTAGATGCTTGAAATTTTAGCACACTCTTTGTTTAGGCATGCCATATGGTGGGATTCATTTTTGTACAAATCCGATTTTAACTTCCTGTTAATCTGTGCATCTGTTTGTACCATACATATCAAATTTTTGTCACAGTTTACTCAGCAACTACTCATTGCAGATGTTTGAAATTTTAACACACTTTGTTTAGGCATGCCATATGGTGGGAATCTTTTTTCTATGAATCTGATGTCAACTTCCTGTTTATCTGTGTGTCTGACTGTACAATATTTAACAAATTTTTTGTCGCATTTTTCTCAGCAACTATTCATTGCAGATGCATGAAATTTTAGCACACTCTTTGTTGAGGCATGCCATATGGTGGCCTGGATTCATTTTTGTATGAATCTGATGTCAACTTCCTGTTTGTCCCTGTGTCTGTCTATAACTGAACTTGTGTATGTTCACATCAGAGTGTATTCACATCAGAGCAGGGGTATTACTAGTGAGCATTGGCTCACAGACTTCTTGTTTCTTTGAGTCTATATTTAGACCTCAAACTATTTAATAATTTTTATACAGCCATCATATCCTTTATGTCAACAACAAATGCACTGTTTTGTGTTGTGCAGTCAACTGGATTCATAAGCAAAAGTAAAGAACATGTGCTGATCCACATGATCACAATTATGAAGTGCATTGTAGTTTTTTTTAAAGGAAATGTAGAGGAAATATTTTATGGATAAGAATACGAGATACTTTCTCAGACTGATGATATTGGATACTTGATAAATTTATTTTAAGTGTACTGGTTGATCAAATAAACACTACTTCAGGAGACAACCAAAAACTCTAGGGGAATCACAGTTGAGGCAATTGTAGGGGAAGGAGATGAAGATTTAACTTGAAGATTTTACTTTTTAATCAACCCCACCCCACCCCTTACAATACTATGATTTCATTTGAATGTTTTTGGTATTGGTAGGTAATCAAAGAAGAATTAGCAACTCTAATCCAGGAATATGTTCGTTTTACCCATGGTATCCCAGGATTCTCTGAACTACCACCCACAGACCAAGCCAAGCTTCTGAAAGGTAAACTAATTTTAGATATTTCCAAATAAGTTAAATTTGTTTTTTTTTCTATGAGGTTCATTCAAAAAATACATAGACCATGTCATAAAAATTTATCAATACATACACTGTAAGTGGGAATTCATTATAAGGTTGTCTGCTATAACTGTTTTACTGTATTGTTAGTAAATTACTAAATTTTGATGTACAAGGTCCATTTACTAAATTTTGATGTACAAAGTCCATGACCTCATTTTGGCAGTTTTAAATTTAAATTCTAAAATAATTTTGAAAGTTCAAAAAGAGTACTAGTTGATCTGTAGAAAATAAAAATTCCTAGAAAAAAATCACATTTCAAAATCAACGTTTATAACTTATTTCTAAAATCCTTCAGGGCAGGCCTGGCCCTTAATAAAATTATGATACAGTTGAACTTCCCCAAACAAAAATTTACTATAGTTAACTATAGTTTACTATAGTTAACTATAGTGAAAACTTTGACACTTTGTTTTACTATGAAACTTTACTCTGGAACTTTTTTTGAGATTTCAAAGCTTAAAATCTCTAAAATTCGAAAACAGTAATGTAAAATTCGGAAATAATGTATGAATATACAAATGATATTTCAATTTAATATAAAATATGTTCAGGTATGAATTGAAGAACAGAAAATATAACGCTCTGAAATCCATAGTAAAAATACTTTGATTTACTATAGTGAAAAAACTTTGATACTATAGTAAACTATAGTTAACTATAGTTAACTATAGTACTTTTTGGTTAGGGATATATATCAGCATGTCAAACACAGATATCTTGAATACCATGGATATGTAAAAGTGATTGGAAAGTCCTAACCATGCATTTTTTAAGTATTTTACCCTCCATAACTCGGACCTTCGGCTATCTCAAAGTTTTTTCTTGGTCCCATCAGGTTTGAGATAATGGGGTTTGACTGTATTTTGAGAGGATGTGATCTAAGGAATAATTTAAATGAGGATTTGTATGGGGCACCCCCCAAACTGCAGTCAAATTTCACAAAGAAAAAAATACAACAAGCAAATTAAAAGAATTGTGATCCCCCTCTATCGGTGTCTTGGTGAATAGGATGCCATTATTTATGGCATATTGTAGATGTCTTGTTTGTGTGTCCTGTCTTGTCTGTGCATTATACAAAAAAGACAAAAATTTTTGAATTAATAACACTTATGGGAAAGCTTATAGCTTCTCAAAACTACATCAAACTTCAACATCAAGGTCATGAGGTCAAATATCATATGAAAATTGGAAAGGTCTTGTCACAAGTAAGGCAGAAAAAAAAAAACAAAATCCAAAGTATACAGTCAGAAAGATCTTGAAACAGGTAATGCACTTGTCAAATGATTATGCCATATCTTCTCTCAATCAAAAGTTATTAGATATGTTAAAATGTCTGAAAATTAGGTCAAACTTCAAGGTCAGGGTCATGGGATTAAAATCATAGTACATTTGGAAATGCTTGTCACAGGTAATGCATGTTTCAAATATGAATGCCCTATCTTTGAAATGTTTGAAAATTATGTAAAACTTGAAGGTCAGGGTCGCAGGGTCGATTATCATAGCATATTCGGAAATATTTTGACACACTTGTCAAATATGAACACCCTATCGTATGTTATTCAAAAGAATTAATTTTTTTGAAAATTAGGTCAAACTTGAAGGTCAAAGTCAAGGCTAAAAAAATCATAGCATGCTCAGAAACACCTTGTCACTGGTAATGTGCATGTCAGAAGCCCTATCTATTCTCAATCAAAAAAATTAAAAGCAAAGATAAAAATTTTGAAAAGTAGGTCAAACTTCAAGGTCATGGGGTCAAAAACCATAGTATATTTGGAAAGGTCTTGTCACAGGTAATGTACATATTTAATATGAAAGCCCTATCTTTTCTCATTCAAATTTTATGACCAATTTAATGTTAAAATGTTTGAAAAGTAGGTCAAACTTCAAGGTAAGGGGTCAAAAATCATTGTATATTTGAAAGGATCTTGTCACAGGTAATGCACATGTCAAATATAAAAGTCCTATCTATTCTCAATCAGAAGTTATAGGCAGAGATGAATTTTTTGAAAAGTAGGTCAAACTTCAAGACTAAGGTTACAGTGTCAAAAATCGTAGTACAGTGTATATTTGGAAAGGTCTTGTCAAAAGTAGTATACATGTATAATATGAAAGTCCTGTCTTTTCTCATTCAAAAGTTAAAGTAATGTTAAATGTTTGAAAAGTAGGTCAAACTTCAAGGTCAAGGTTATGGGGTCAAAAATCATAGTATATTTGCAGTAATAATTCTGTTCTGATATTTAGCGGAATTCTGCTGATCTGAATCCAAGATTCTGATATTTATGAGTGTTTTCTGATATTTTGGTACTTTATATTTTTGCAGCAATCTCTTTCCGTTTTTGTCTGGGTAAAAAAAATAAAGTTGTTTAATCCGTGTTTTGATCTAGTCTGCCTCATCCAGACATTTGCTTTTATCTCCAAATTAGGTAAACACAAATGTAGGGTGGTCCATTCAGCCAGGCCAGGATGTAAAAGTTGTTGAACAAACTGTCACACTCCAGTTTTTGTCACCCATTTAAACCTATTTGGGGTTTGCTAAAGCCCATATTTCTTCAGCCCCTTGACCCCCAACCTATTTCCGATATTTTGGCCAATTCACAGAATCATCACTGATATTTGGAAAGGTCTTGTCACAGGTAATGTATCTTCTCATTCAAAAGTTATGGCCAAGGCCAAAATAAAAAATACCTTTGTTTCCCCTAACGTGACCGACCCAATTAAATCCGGCCGACTGAAAAGTTTTTTTAAGATTATTCAAATATTTTTTTTTTTAAGTTTATCAACTTTTATAAAGTACAATTTCATCAAAACCTGTTCTTATCAGAAAATAAGAATGTATTTTCAAAGCTGCTGTCAGGAAAAAAAAATATTTACCTACCTACCTACCCAACTTCAGATTTTAGGGTTGGGTTAGGGGAAACAAAGATATTTTTAATGATGGCCCAAGGTAAAAGTTTTTGTGACAGATAGACTGACAGATAGACAGATCAACAGAAGGCAAATTAGATTTAATGTTCCCTTGCTTTCGTAAAAGCAGGGGGGGGGGAATGAGGAAACCTTATAGGTGCCCCATAGTGATCGGTCTGTCTGTCCGTCCTTCCGTTCAACTGTCCGTCCATGAATGAGATCTCTTGTCTGGAGCATATCTTCTCTCTCCTTGGCCCAATCTGGCTCATACTTCACCCAAAGAGTGCCTTTGGGTAAAGGGTGTGCAGTGACCTTGAACCATATTTCTAGGTCTAGGGTTAAGGTCATAGCAGAATTATATGGAAAATCCTTGTACGGAGCATATCTTCTCTCCCCTTGATCCAATGTTGCTCATACTTCACTCACAGAGTGCCACTGGTCAATGGATGTGCAGTGACCTTAAAAATTTGTTAAAAAGCTTTATATAATGAAAAAAAAAATTGTGTAATCTTGATGCAACATTTTTTTAAATAAGGTTACTGCACGACTCTTACATTTGTGGGGACTATCTACAACTTTTTTTTAATACTTGGTGACAGAGAATGACAATGATAAGTAGGTCACCATGACCTACTCTCAGGTACTAATTGGCTTAGAATCTTCTTTGCTTCTCAGAGTGTTTCATCTAAAATATAGGTCATGATGACCTATGTTTGAAATTTCAAGGCTTTATCTAAATATACAGGATACTTAGAGGCTTCAAATAGAAGTGATAAGTTGTACAGTTTATCAGAAGAGCGATTCAAGGCCCTTGGGCCTCTTGTTAGTACCATCCTTGGTTTAATGCATGGTGAAGTACTTTCAATACTTACATGTATGTAAATGACTTTGAAGTGCACTTTTTAAATTCTGGATGTTTACCATATGAAATTTCATCATTAAATCTTTTTCTTCTTTTGTATGCAGATGATACGGTGGGTTTTTTTTTTTCTGAAACAGTTGCTGGCATACAATCTCTGTTGAATCAACTAGCAAACTATTGTAAAACATGAAAATTACATATTAATGTGGATAAATCAAAGATTGTTGTTTTTAGAAAAGGGGAAAAGTGAAAGAATGTGAAAATTGGTATATTAATAGTGAAACACTGAAATTATTGATCAGTTTACCTACTTGGGTATTATTTTTAATTATGATAAGTTTTCTGGAGCTGAGAAACAACTTGCTGACCAAGTTAGGAAAGTTTTATTTGTTTTAAAAAAAGAATATTAGAAACATGTACTTTAATCGTGAAACATTGCTGTCTTTATTTGATTGTTTTGTAGGCAGTATTGTAAATTATGTTTCAAAAATTTGGGGTTCAATTAAATCATTGAGAAACTTCATCTTGATATTTTAGGAGTTAAAAGGACAACATGTAATGTAGCTGTATATATTCTGAATTAGGACGATATCCTCTGCTTTACCAAAGAATGTTTAATATAATCAAGTTTTGGGAAAAAAAGCTCTTGACCAAAAAAATTGTATTATTCAACATTGTTACGATGTTTTATATGAGAGATGCAAAAAAACTGGTTGTCAAATGTTAAAAGTATTTTATGCAATTTAGGTATGTTTGAATTGTGGGAAAAACAAAAAATGTGTAGACCTTCCCATCATCAAGCAAAGACGTTTTGATCAAGCAAGACAGAATATTCTTTCTCAATTAGCAGGTCTGGGCGGCCTCCGTTTTTGGAGGATAGCTAAATTCAATGTGTTTTGATTTCTTTGAATCTTTAAAACTTTTATTTTCACTAAAGCCTCCACATGGGGTATGTTAGTACAATAAGAGTTTAACAATTGAACAAATCAACATGTGAACAGTTAACATAATGAACTATAAAAAGATCTTTGATATGAACAGTACTGATGGTTGTAAAAAAAAATTGTTTAATGTTTACATTGTAGGAAGTTCAGGCATGAAATAATTTAAGAACAGTTTTACAAAACTTAGCTAAACCTATTAGTTCCTATATATC